TATATATATGTATTTAATAGGAGCGTACTGTTAAAAGATGGCTAGAACGTTGGCATAAAGAAGGAAATGTACAAACAAAAGAAAGAAAAGGCCGTCGTAGAATTACAACTAAGGAACAAGACGAAGCTATAGTCGCTATGGCTACTCAAAATCCATTAACTGCAGCAAAATACGTGGCTCCTGCTTTAGGATTGAAATGTAGTGTAGATACAATTAGAGAACGTCTTCATAAAGCAGGAATACATAGTTGGAAGCTTGGAAAAAAACAAGGGTAATTATATAGTGTTAATAATAATATCCGAAGTTTTCATTATTTATATTTCATTAAAATTTACATATAAATATATACAGTACTAATAAACAATATTTGGTAATATTTTAGAGAAGGAAATGCAGTTCATACAGTTCATCTTTGGCAAGCTAGCGGTAATCGTCTTAATAAACCAAAAACTCCTGGAGATAAGAAAAAGAAATCGAATGATAATAAAAAAAGAGATCATTCAACGAGTAATATACAAAAACGAATATCTAGGAAAAAGAAATCTGATCCTGTTCCTTTGAAAGTTGTACCACCACCACCAACAAATATGGTTCCTGAGCCAACTCCTATGCCTTTTCATAATCCGACAACAAGTGAGTTAAATTGAAGAACGTTCAATAAATTTTATTTTACGTTAGAATATATAATTATTCAATGATATTATGTTTCAGTGCCAAATTATGTTGCTAGTAGTAACATATTGCAGCCCGTTCATAACATCTCAGCTCCTCCACCATCAATTCCTCAACCGCAACCACCACCACCACCACCTCCAGGTCCACCACCAGGACCACCATCAATGCAACCAATGGGTCCTATAATGCAACAAAGACCAGATTGTAGATTAGCTCCTATTGTTCCACCTGTATCTACTCAAGGTAATTCCAATGCAGTTTATGCATCATGTTTGGTGGCGAATAATAATCACACAGGTCATATGGAACAACCTGATCCTTTAAATTATGAACCGTACATTTGGAGCTTTTAAAATACGTAGTATCTTTTACTATAAGTTTGTTAATATTTATATATTTCTTTACTTATAGCGAATCTCTTTCTATCTCTCTCTCTCTCTTCCGATTAGATCTCACTAATTTTATATTTATACGTTATATTATTATTTGCTATGGTTACTGCCTTTTTAATTAATAGAAAAAAAATGAAGAAACACGAAGTATTTAAATTATAAATTTATGTAACTTCGGACTTTTTGAGAATTTACAAACTATTTGAATCTTTAAGTATTCCATACATTTGCAGTGATAAAAAGAAACGAAATACATCATCAAAATGAGATGTTATTGTAAATATTTTGTAATAATGTAAATGTAAATGTGCCATTTTAAACAAGGAAAAAATCTAGCACACGTGAGTAAATATAATATAATATACCAAATCTATTAAAAAACAAATCTTTAAAATATTTCTCTTAAAATAGCGAATTGTCGTAATGAAGTTAGACTACATAATGTATAAATCATTTTTTTAAATTATGTATATATAACATAAAATATCTATTTAAAAATTATGTAAGAGGAATATTTATTTTAAAAACTTGTATTGCATAATTTTTAAGATAAATAATAGTTAAAAGTAATTATAAAACTAGTTGTTCCTCTTAGAATATTATATAAATATATATCGTAATTAATTGTGGTATATATACATAAAATTACAAATAATTATACATAATATTAGTTTTTTTACATTTTAACTTTAAATAATAAAGCAATATGATATTTTACAAATGTTACAAGGTGGGTAGAAATTTGTATCAAAACTAGAGTACAATCTGGTATATTCCAGTTAATTAAATGTGTATAAATTTGTAAAAGTTAATGAATAATAGGATAAAAAAGTATTACAATTTAAACACTATATATGTTTGCAGGCGCATTCAATTTTATTCAAATTTAAAATCAAATTATTTTGTATTGGTGATATGTGAACATTCTAATATGGTTTTTATTTCTTTTAATAGATAATTTATATATTAAACATTAACATAAAAAAAAAACAGTATTCTTAAAAACGTCCATATGTAATACTGACAATGCATATATAAGTTAATATATATATATAATTGTGTAAAAGAGAACTACAGTATTTGCATGTCCATCTTATATTATATCAAATCCAGTGTTTCTCACATTCGATTAGGATTTTTAGAAAAACACTGTGCAACGGTATACTGTTTAAGTATGCAGAAATGTATAAAAATGAGATTTAAAAAAAAAAAAGAAACATTCTCAATTATCGTATACAATCTGACAAATAAATATATCATATTATATTTTGTTACACGCATGGTGATTTTGATAATGCATAAAAGAAAATGAAAATTGCATTATTTATTATTGCTATAAAACTAATAAAAGAGGTCTCTATATATTTACATATATCTCATCCGATTACAACAGTTTATATTTTTTTTACAGATTACCTACATGAATATAAAGTACATCTCATATTCAAAAAATTATAATATAGTTAAAATTTTTACTTTTTTTAATTACAAAATATTCTTAAAGAGATTTCCAGGTAGACAATATTTTCAATTTTCATTATTATGTAAGTTCCCATATTTGTTTAACATTGCTTATAACTTTTTCTGGATCATTTTTATGGAACATAAAGAACCCTTGAATTTGAGCAGGACTAACGTTTTTCTTTTGAGCCATCACTTCGTTAGCAAATTGTTTTGCCATATCATTCGTTACGTTTTCAGGTGATTTATAAAATTTTAAGAACATTTGTTCGACTTGAGAACCACTGCACCAACCTAATAAAATATTTTACATTATTTTTCTATTTCGAATTTTAATACTTAAATATTTAGGTATATACATTAATCTTTGAATATGTACCAATATATTCTTTGACGTCAACTCTACCAGGTCTCACAAGAGCAGGATCTAAACGTTCGAGATAATTCGTTGTCATAAATAAAATTCTTGCTTCAGTAGATGCAACGCCATCCAAACAATTTAATAAACCACTAAACGTAACTCTGTTTAAACCTTCGTACGCTGTTTTAACTGTAATTATAAACAAAAGTATAATGTAACATGATATATTCAAAGTTATAATTAAATTAATATTAGAATAATATTAGCAACTTTACCTTCTTTAGATTCTTCTCTACTAGTAAATGCAGCATCAATATCTTCAAGAAGAATAATTGTTTGTTGCGGAGCAACTGCTAATAAATGATTTAATCTATCATCTGTTAAGCCACGTTCGGACAAATTTAAGACACATATACCACGTTCTAACTCTCCAGCTAATGCAGTTATGTAAGATGATTTTCCACAGCCTGGTGGACCATGCAATAAATATCCTCTCCTATATGGAATTCCTGTATACAAAAAAGAGTAAAAGATTTACATTTTTTCTTTAGAATAAAATGTTTAATTCTCTTCTTACCTCTATTGCTATACCATGAAGGAGTACTGATAAAATCTTTACAATCATTTAATATCCTTTCAGATATTCCAACATCTAAGACTACTGATGTTAACGGCCTTTTCTTTCTAGGATGTCCAAATTGTCTCCACTCGCTGCCCATCGCAACATACATTATGGTTTTTCCTTCATGCTCCTTTAAAGCCAATTGTCTAGCTATGGAAAAGAAATTTATTACTAAATTCTTAAAATTCTTTAAAGCTTTAATAATTATAATATAGAGGAATTCAACCTTCTTCAAGAATATTAAAATATAAACTTCTATCTCTTCCTAATGCTGTAAGTTGTACCGTTTCCCATGGAATACCCATATGCAAATCTAACGTTTGTTGTTCTCTTGTTCTTTCAACTCTAATCCAATTACCTCGATAGCTGTAAGTTAATCATTTATATTAATAAATTCCATGAATAATCATATTAATAAAACTAGATGTATTATTAAGGAAGAAATTACTTACTTAAAAAAGTGTGTTCCGATACTAGGTATGAATTCATATTTAGTTTTAATGTGACCAGTTTCTTTTTGTTCAAAGCTCGTTTCAACAGACAAATGTTGCGTTTTAGTAGCACCTCTATGTGTGATCCATTGCAAGAGCCATTGATAACTTTTGTCTCGACATGGAACTTCCAAAGTAATCATATAATGTCGCCTTTATCATATAAAATTACTAAAGTATCATATAAAAAAAATGTCAACGATATAAAATTTAATTTTCATTGAATTATTACCTAAAGAATATCATTCCAGCTTGCATTCCTTTTCTTAATATAGCAGCCCCAGCTCCTACACCAAAGAGACCAAAACCAGCACCAAAGTAAGGATTCTCTGATAGAGTATGAATGTAATCGACAATTGTCATTTTGATATACTATATTGTTCAATCTTAATTGAAGACACTAATTATACATATATTACTTGTTTTATAACTGAAAAGTTATTTTGTTATAGGTTATTTACAGTATTCACACAGATTTTCCTTTTAAAAATAATATATTTTAACAATATAACAATGACAATCTTTTCTAATTGCTGTATAATAATTCAACAATGTATTTAAATATAATGTATTGTATAACAATTGAAAAATACTTAATCAGTCGATAAAACGCATGAATGTAATGAAAATAATTCTACGATGTACTATTTCAATGATTCAATAGTATTTACGTAAAACGAAATGTATCAATGATTTAATGTATCTACGGTGTAATTCATCAATGCATTTCTATCATTGACGAATTATTTGGTAGATACTATAAATCATTGATGAATTATTTCGTAGAATCGTTTTCATTCAACTGATTATTAAATCATTTATCACGATCGACAGTAAAATATTTGTGTTATAACTATTGATCATTATTGAATTAAATTTTATTCAATACTAAAATGAATACGTCATGTGTGTGTATATATGTGTGTTCAACACATACATCCGTCCATCTTACGTAGAATTTCTGTGTATTCTGAAGTGACACGTGCATTACGTGGATTGGTCATTATTATAAATGTCTTCACGATAATTAATACAGTTTATAATCAACATTTAAGGGTATGGCAAATATTCCACAATTGTTTTTATTGTAATATTTCTTAAATAGTTATTTATTTGACATGCATATTCATGGTGTATACTTTGATGGTGTCAGTTTTGAAATAACAAATTTTTATTTATTTATATAATTTTGTATTTATAAATATTTGTTTTCTCTTTAAAATATATAAGATTTTTATAAATGTAATTTATAGGTTACTTTAAGTTTTATTTGCTATTTATTTATTAATGTAAGTTTTCTTTACAAACAAAGGACTTAACCTCTACATTGTTTGACGTGTTTATAAACGTATAAATGATTTATTAATTATTTGCAATTTATTGTTATAATAATTGAAATTTATGTATGATTGAAATTATTACTGTCATTATGTAATATATCTGTTTTAGATGTGGATACTAGTATTTTTTTATTCATTACTTTTGTGCTCAAAAGGATTAAAAGCGGATAAAAAAGTAAACAAATATGTGACAACGTTGATTGATGCAAAATGGAAGGAAACTCCATTATTTTTAGAAGCAGCTGAATATCTCAATGATGAAAATCCAAATTACTTTTGGAAATTCATCGAAGCGTATTCTGAAAATGTTGCATCCATACAAAATGGTAATTGACAAAATAATCAACATGCTTTATAATTAATTATATTATTTTAATCTGACAAATGTTTTACAGGTACAGAAAAAGATAATTATGAATTAATTTTGAAGTTAGCTGAAAAGCATTTATCTCCAGCGGAGATTGCAGTTCTTAAATTAGGACTGTCATTGCGTATTTATTCTACCCGAGTTGAAATGTTTTCGCAAATGGCAGAAAACAAGAATGTTTCTACTTTAGATTGTTATAACGTAATCGACATTGGTGGAAAATTTACATGTTCCATCTTTGAAGTAAATGAATTAATCGCTAAGGTAGTTAAAACAGTTTCATTGAACATCGTGTGGAATTGCTATATGAATTTATATGCTATATTTTCATCAAATATGACACAGGTCTGCGTGTTAAATTATAATGCAAGAGATTAATGTTCCATTTATTTTTTTTTAGGATGAATGGACTAAGAGAGATACTTACAGTATAGATCATTATTATTTGGGATCTCAAAAAACTGATAAAGTTATAATAATGTATGGTCAAGTTGATTCTCCAATGTTCATGAACTATCACACGAAATTAAAAAATATAGCAGATACACAAGGAATCAATTATATATTACGTTACTACGTAAAGGTAAAAACGAAATTTAATTGTAGTTAATAAAAAACAAAATAATCTTTGTATTATTTCTCACATGTATTTTTTAATTACAGGATAGACTAGATAGGAAATTACGGTTATCCGGTTATGGTGTAGAATTACAAATGAAATCAACTGAATATAAAGCTACAGATGATTCAGATATTAAAGATAATACTAGAAAAGGATCCGAAACAAACAACGATGGAATTGAAGAAATAGATGGAATTAATTTCGTTACTTTAAAGTATTTATTAGAATTTATTTGATTGATATATAATAAAGTATATATTGTATACATTTGGAATACTATTAATAATTTATATCTTTTAGAACATTATATCCAGATAAACAGGCTGAATTGGAAGAATTACAAACACATTTGCTTGAAACGAGTCATGAAATTGGGGCATTAAAAGTATGGCAGTTTCAAGAATTAAGTCATCAAGCAGCTGAGAGAATAATGAACTCTCCTACGGATGAAGCTCTTAACGTTTTAACAGACATCGCTCAAAATTTTCCTATGCAAGTAAGATTGAATATTTGATTAATAATAATTATTATATCGATACGTGTTTCGTATGCTATACAAAAACGTATGTTGTTTTAGGCCAAATCATTGATTAGAACAAAAGTAAATAATGAAATGAAAAAGGAGATGAAACTAAATCAAGATATATTTTCTGGAAGTTTAAGTATACAACCGACAGACACCGCACTCTTTATTAATGGTTTATTTTTCGACTTAGAAGCTATCGACGTACTTACACTTCTAGAGGCTTTGAGAGGCGAACTGCGTGTAATGGAGGCACTTCATAAAATTGGTAAAATTTAAATATATTTTTGCATATGCATAATTTTAAAAATTTACTTAATGTATATAGTTATATTTTCTTTCTTTTTGTTTTGTTTTATAGGATTGAATAGTAAAAACATGGGAAAACTTTTAGCTCTTGACTTATCAAGTAATGTAGATAATCAAGAGTTTGCTATGGATATTAGAGATTCAGCTATAATTTGGATAAACGATATTGAAAGTGATGCTCGTTATAGCAGATGGTCACCTGCATTGACTGAATTATTAAGACCAACTTTTCCAGGAATGCTTAGAAATATAAGACGAAATTTATATAATTTGGTAAATTATTTGAATCTCTAAATTAAAAAATTTATAATTTAATAAATATACATATATATTTTGTATTATTTTCAGGTATTAATTATCGATCCTTTAAATGAAGATTCAATGGCCTTAATTTCATTAGCATCATCTTTGTATACATATGTTGCTCCTTTAAGAATAGGATTCGTTTTCATAACTAATTATGATACTTCTGTTACTGGCTTATCAGATGCGAGTGTTGCAGTGAACAACGCTTTCCATTATTTCATAGAAAGCAAAAGTGCTAAGGAAGCATTCGAATTTTTGGTAAAATTTTAAATAATTCATCGATTAATTTTAAGTAATTTGATTTTATTGAGAATAATTAAGTAACACGAATGAATTTGTTTCAGTTAGGATTGTATATCGGATCTTATCCCATAACTGTGGACATTGTTAAACAAGCTATAAGAAAAATAGATTCTTCTGCTAATATAAATTACATTCTTAGCGAAGAATCAGAATATGACGTTGGTCGTCATTTGGCTAGCGATTTTGTTAAACGATCTGGTTTTAAGAAATTTCCGCAAGCGTTACTTAATGGCGTACCATTACCAGCTACTCGATTAAATGCTGATTTATTTGAAGAAGCAGTATTAAGTACTATTGTAGCGCAAACACCTGCCTTACAAAAAGCAGTTTATCGCGGTGAAGTTACACAAGGAGATGATGTTGTTGATTTCATAATGAATCAACCTAACGTTATGCCACGGTAATATACTACGCTCTTAAGATTGTCTTAGAAAATAAATAAAACTATACACACTATTTTTATAGATTAAACGAACGTATCTTGAAAATAGATAAAAATTCTTGGTTGAATTTAATTGGAACAGTTCCCAAAGATAACGATTATACTAAATGGACTCCCCAAGATGCATCATCTTGGCTCATGGAAAAAATGAAATATTTATTTGTATCTCGTCGAAGCAGTTTGCATCATTTATATTCATTTTGGATCGTAGTTGATTTAAAATCAAAGTCGTCAAGAACATTGCTCCACGAAGCTCTTATTTATATAGTATGCAAATGTTTTACATAATTACTGTGAAATTTATAAAAATGTATTTCTGAATAAGTATTATATCTAATTAAATCGTATTTTATATAGGAATCAAATCCAGATGCAAGAATAAGCTTAATCATCAATAATAATGATGTTGATTTTGAATATGATTTAAATAGAATTGCACTTGCTGCTTTAAATTTATTGCCCATAGATAAAGCTTTACAAGTAATGCACAAAATAGTCAAAGAAGACTTCGAATCGCTTGCAGAGGTTGGTCTAGAATTTTTATTTTTTAGTATATATATAATATATCCTAAAATATTTAATAATATTGCAGTACGAGTTAATTAATGAACACTTTGAAAATGAAGACGAGTTATTAGAGTTCCATACGTACTATTCTAAACAAGTTTTAGGATTAGAAAAAGGAGCCATAACTGTTGTATGTAATGGACGAATGATTGGCCCCTTAGATACTAATGAAGAATTTACAAATGAAGATTTTTCACTTTTTGAACGATTTAGTCAGAGTACATATGGAGATAAATTATTTAAAAATTTAATTAAATCTCAATCTGAGGAAGACGATGATTATGGTATGAACATATTATTGTTTTTATATTTATTACGATCATTGGAATATAGAAAATTACTTTAATTATTCTTAAATATAGAAAGAACTGATATTACGGATGATATGATAATGAAAATCACTTCACTCTTGGTTCCACGACCACAAACACGTAGTCGATTTGAAGTACGTTTTCATGGAGATGAGCACAGGTAACTAATAATAAATGTTACAGTTTTCTTCTTTTGTTATTAATTGGTTTCTTTTTTTTTTTTTTGTATAATTACAAAACATTATATTCATTTTTCAGCGTTATAAAACTTCCACCTGTAAATCCTGATGAAGTAACATTCGATTTAATTGCAATAGTCGATCCGGTGTCAAGAGGTGCTCAAAAATTAGGTCCAATTTTGAAGACATTACAACAAACATTGAACTGCCGAATTAAAGTATTTCTTAATTGTTTAGATAAAAATAGCGACATGCCATTGAAAAGGTAAATTAATCGTATATTATTTAACATTTATCTCATATACTAATGATTTTCTAAATTTTATTTCAGTTTCTATCGTTTTGTACTCGATCCCGAACCACAATTTACTGCGGATGGACATTTAAATGGCGCTATAGCTAAATTTACTAAACTTCCTACTTCGTCGCTATTAACGCAATACATTCATGCGCCAGAAAATTGGCTGGTGGAAGTAGTGCGAAGCGTTTACGATTTAGACAATATTAAATTAGATAATGTGGCAATGGGTGTTCATAGGTATAATTAAATAATATTTCAATATTTATGTTTCTTTCTATAAATATGCGGAGGTGAATAAATTTATAATTATTATTGTTTAGTGAGTTCGAATTAGAACATTTATTACTCGAAGGCCATTGTTTCGAAGCAGTAATGGGAAATCCACCGAGAGGCTTACAAATTACATTAGGAACTGAAAAACAACCGGTAATGGTTGATACTATAGTTATGGCCAATTTAGGATATTTCCAACTTAAAGCGAATCCCGGAGAATGGCATTTACGATTAAGACATGGACGTTCGGCAGAAATATATGATATTACTACCGTCGATGGGCAGGATGTTATTCAAGATGGCAATAACGTTAAAGTTTTAATAAGTTCTTTAAAAAGTCATGTTCTTAAAGTCAAAGTTTCCAAAAAACCGGACAAAGCTAATATGGATTTACTTTCGGATGACGATAAAAACTCTGGCATATGGAATTCTATTTCTAGGTACATATAAATAATATTTAATTTTAATTTCTTTAAAAAAAAAAAAAAAAAAAGTCTCATATCTACTGTTATAATTGATATCAGTAGGAACACAATGCTATTCAGTTATCTTTGAACTTTAATTTTTATTTATTCTCTCCTTTTTTAGCTTTTCGAAATTTTGGTAAGCTTTTCATTACTATGTAGACAAACACACATTTAAAATGTAATGAATATATTCTATCATCTTATTTCTTCTTTATTAAAACAAATTGAAATTATAAAATGATTATATCGAAAATATTTTCTTTAAAGATTCATTTCTTTTTTTTTTATATTAGGACATTCACTACAGGAGATGAAAGCGAAGATCAGGATGACAAAATAAATATATTCTCTCTTGCCTCTGGTCATCTTTATGAAAGATTCTTAAAGATTATGATGCTGAGTGTTATCAAACATACGAAGACTCCTGTAAAGTTCTGGTTTTTGAAAAATTATCTCTCCCCTACGGTTAAAGTAAGTAAAATATTAAAACATTTTTATTATCAAATATTGTATTCATTTATCTAAATAATATTTTATTAATAGGATTTCTTACCGCACATGGCGAAAGAGTATGGTTTCGAGTATGAATTGGTTCAATATAAATGGCCACGTTGGTTACATCAACAAACTGAAAAGCAACGAACAATTTGGGGATATAAAATATTATTCTTGGACGTATTATTCCCATTGAATGTTAAAAAAATTATATTTGTTGATGCTGATCAAGTATGAACGAACATTTGATTATTTCCTAATTATTCAATCTAAATTATCTACTTTGCTATAAAATTTGGTTTCTTTTTTAGGTTGTAAGAGCTGATTTGAAAGAATTGGCAACTTTAGATCTTGGCGGTGCACCATATGCTTACACACCATTTTGTGATAGCAGAAAAGAAATGGACGGTTTCAGATTTTGGAAACAAGGATACTGGAGAAATCATTTACAAGGCCGTTCTTATCATATTAGTGCTCTTTACGTAGTAGATTTAAAAAGATTCCGTCGTATTGCCGCAGGTGATCGATTAAGAGGACAATATCAAGCTTTAAGTCAGGATCCTAATAGTTTATCCAATCTCGATCAGGTATTTGAAACATTTAAGATATTTATTATTATTATTATTAACCCTTGCTTACCACACCTCCCTGGAGTAATACGCTTAAACGCTTAAGGTCTGGGTCCTTTGGACCCAGTGTGGTAAGCAAAGGTTAATTAATTTGATAAAAATAATTATTTTAATAATACATTTATTACTTTAGGATTTACCTAATAATATGATCCATCAAGTAGCAATAAAAACATTACCACAAGACTGGTTATGGTGTGAAACATGGTGTGACGATTCATCTAAGAAATATGCCAAAACTATAGATTTGGTTCGTATCATGAACTACATATAATTGAAATATTTTATTAATAGAATTATATAATAAGAATTAAATTTCATATTTCAGTGTAACAATCCAATGACTAAAGAAGCAAAGTTGCAAGCTGCGATGCGTATTTTACCTGAATGGGTAGGATACGATGAAGAGATAAAAGCTTTGCAACAAAAAATTGAGAATGAAACTAGACAAATGGAAAAAGAAGATAGTGGTACGTAATAATATATAATTTGTGAGGAAGTTGACCGAGGGGGTCCCTGGACAGTTCAGTAGTTAAAGCATTTATACAGCAAATGGAAAACCTAATTCAAGTCCTGAATACAATTTTTTTTTCACGAATTCTACGATAATATAATAAAAAATATTGTAAGGGGAATACTTTTATATCATAATTTATTTATTTCAGAATCGACGACTGAAGATCATACGAAACATGAAGAATTGTGAAGTTAGATTAATGAAATAGAACAAATGATATTTAGTTTATAACTTTTTCGATTAATCTAAAAGAAAGAAAAAAAATGAAATGAAATGAAAAGAAAAGAAAAGAGAAGAAAAAAAAAAGAAAAAAAAAGAAAAACAAACTATTCTCCACTTTCTGAATCAATAATTATACAATTATCGAAAAACACAATCAATTGTGCCATTTAAAAAAAAAAAAAAAGAAATTATTCATCTTTGTCTTCTGTGATTTTAATATTTATCATGATACACGGTAATTCTCTATCGTAAAACGCAGATATTTACAAATTAATGATAATTCATAATAAGTTATCAAAAATGAATTATTTGGCATTATCTTATCTATGGTAATGTGATATATAAATAATTGAATTTCTCGAAACGATAAAACAATGCATAAAAAAAAACGACGATGTTCAATGGATATACATTCAAGTGAAAAGTAAATCTTACTTTTTCAGTATTCTAGCTAAAATATGGACATTGGAATGCATAGTCCACAAATATTGTCGAAAAACTATTGTGATTTTTTATTACCTATATATTATAGTCGTAAACAATAAACTTGTATCGTTTGTAAAATATGTTTTGCAGGATTTTCACTAAGAAGATATACAATTATTTTCTATAACACTATACATTCCTATCGTGTTAAAGCAAGATATATAATTTCCTATTTAAAAATTTCACCAATGTTTATGTAAAACAAAAATTCATATAACAAAACTTGCGTATATTTGTTAAGTCACATTATTATATTATACATCTACGATATATAACAGGAAAATTTTGTATGGAAATTTTTTACGGTCTTGTATCAAAACCATGTTTTTCTTTCTTTCTTTTATTATTATTTTATTTTTATGACAACTTTTAAGCGTTTTTTTAAACTATTAAAAATAGTTTTTATATGAACGTAAGGAACTAAGATTTATTTTCAAATTATCAGGAGGCGTATTTACAAATACATACACAAATATGATTATTGATAATGGTCTATTCGGGAGACATCTCTGAAGAACATTCGCAGTAACATTTTGTAAATATTTATTTACGTAGAACAATGAGAATCAATCAGATCGAATCGTGATAGTGGTAGTGGATCGAAATTGATGTAAAAATGCAAATATTGTATATGACTGATAACGAATTTGTCTCATCTTCTTTGTTTTCAAACGATATCAGACAATGATATTAGATTTGGTCATTTCATTATGTCAATTAAAGCTTTTCTTTTGTGTGATAATAAATACAATCCGAGAGACAGAAGAGATGGTAGATAAAATGGACAATGATATTTTCCGTTGAGTTTGTCCTGCTGGATATGTTTCTTCAGTAGACTCTTAACTGTTCACATTTCTACACCATTTGTTTTGGGGGTTTTATTCGGAAGATATTCTAAAAGATATTTAGAAATCGATAAATTATGGAGAATAATACGAAGAATAAGAACATCGAGTAAGTCATTTTTATATGATTTTATTATTTAATATAGTTGCATAAAATTCTGTCCAAATTTATGAGAATGATAAACGATAACGATAATAACGAATTCTATAATTAAACAATTAGAATTAAAATGTATAATTAGAGAGCTATGGGAAAGTCTGATTGATATATTATGTATATGTATGAATATGTCACTATTATTTTTCAAATGTATAATTATTGAATTATTTTATTATTGGAATAGGAAAAAGGTAAAAAAAAAAAACAAAAGAACAATAAAACAATAATCAAATATATATAATGTAAATAATATTATTAATTATATTATATATTATATTTAGTTATTTTAAAAAATATATTTATTAGGTTAATAATTTGTATAAATAATATAAAAATATTTGATAAATGTTATGTATTAATCAATAATTTAATAATTTCATTGAAGATATTTCAAAATTTTGAATTTCGCGCATATTTGCTAACTTATCAATCGAGTAAAGAGATCCGACTTTCGGAACTTAACGGATTAAACCGATTTAATCCGATCTTATCCGATCTTCGAGTCCAATCCTCTTTCCTATTGGTTTTTTCGTAGTTCTTTTATTAAATTGATAGAGTTATAAGTATAATCTAATTTCTTTCCTTTGATAATTATTTAATGTTATAATGTGATTTACAAGGGATAAAAGAGAAGATAAAGGTACTTATTTACACGTGACAGAAATGAAGAAATCAAAAGAAAGAAATATTAGTAATGGATCGAGAAGCGGGAAATCGATAGATCACAAAAAAATTTGTTGGAGAAGGGATACATATATATATATATATATATATATATTGTTATAAGGAGAGTGGTTTTCAATTCCTTTTAGTCGTACGTTCCATTTTGCAGTTAATTTAAAAAAAAAAAGAAAAAAACAAACAAAATTATTTTAATAATCACGAAGTTATTTTATTTAGTCTATTACGATGTTATTGTAATATGTATTTGTCTTGTTATCCTCATTTGAAAAAACACAAAAAAAAATTTTTTCAATTTTATTATTCTTAAAAATAATTAAGAAATGATCTCATTTAGTTTATTAATAATATATTATTTGAAATTTTATTATTAATTTATTGTATTTTTGCAGATGTATAAAAAAAAATTAAAAAAAAAAAAGATGGGAATATATATTACAATTAAATATTTGTTCGTAATTAATAATCATAAAGAAGAAACTCATTTAACATTTTGTTATTACAAGTACCCCATAAAATATGCCACAAGAAGAGAAGGCATATCCCCGAAGATACGTCGATGAAAAGTTGAGAACCGTTGGGAATGAGTTGTAAGCAGAAGAAAGATAGATATTAAGAAAGAAAGAGATAGATAGATATATATAAAGTGTTAGTGGTGGGAGGTGTAGAAGAGGAGGATTCAGAGTTAAGTTATCTGTTAAAATAAACTGTCCGTGCTATACGCACGTTCAAGTGACCGAAAGAAGCTATGCAGTGGGTAGAATTTGTTGTTTGTTTGAGAAGTGACGGCTACGGTACAATATTATCGTCTCTTCTTCAATCATTTAACGTATACGACGAATTGGTGTCCAAACATTTCCAAAAAACGTCTTTTTCCTCTTCATCTTTATCATCTTCTTTCACTTTCTACCACGTCATTCCAATTCTTTCTACTTTCTAAAAATTTTTTTTTAGGGGGGGCTGTTGTTTTTTTTTTGGTTTAGTTTTATTTCTATCTTTTTTATTTCCTTTGTCATCTCATCCTTTAAAATATCCTATATATATATATATTTATATAAATTTAGAAAATTTCCTGTCTCGCAAGGACACGTGCGCGCGTAGTTATCCTTCGATAAAATCATCGTCTACCATTTAAACAATTGTATTGTCGTCGTCGTTTTCTTCTTCTTCTTCTTCTTCATCGTCATCCTATATATTTGCTGTATTTATTTTATTTGAGTCTCCTACCTATCATGGACAACGAGAAGATTAAACTGTGAGTTTATTAACTTTCTATCGCTTTTTGTCTTACTTACGAATATAAACAATATGATATTTTTCTTTGGGGATTACAACGAAACGAATATTTTCGCGCGTTTGTGGTTTTAAAATTTAAACGAATTTTTACGATTTTATTTTTTATTATTATCCTTATTGTTGTTTTTGTTGTTGTTATTGCGTTTGTTTTATATCTCTCTTTCTTTTTTTATTTCTTCTTTTCTTTTTTTACTATTTGCAACCGTTACTATTTTTCTATTCTTCCTTTTTGTATTGTTTTTTTTTTATTTATTATATTTCACAATATTTCTCTTTTTTTTTCTTTTTTCAAATGTACCATTATTACTAATAATCTTTTCTTTTTTTTCCTTATTTCTTCTTTTCTAGTTAAGCATTACTACTATTTCTCTGTTTCTTCTTCTGTTTTATCTTTTATTATTATTATTACTATTATACTATTAAATTTTTTCATTCTTTGATTATTTTTTTTTTATTTTTTTTTTCTTCTTTTCATTGTTTTTCTTTTTTATTCTTATTCTCTTCATTCGAATGTTATTATATCGCATAACTGACAAGAGTAAGTAAGCAAGTATATATGCATAAGTCGTTAATATTATCGTAAAATTAATACATTTATGCGATTAATCGTCCTTCTACTTTTTTGCACCCATCACACAAGTCTTATCAGAGATATTCTGCATTACGCTACAATGTCTTGGAAAATTAAAGAAATCAAATGGTTAATATTTATCAATCATTATCCCTTTTACTACATATTCGTAGTATCCCCAATGAAAGGATTAACAAAAAAAAAAAAAGAAAAAACAAACAAAGAAAATTCACGTGGTATTTTTTTTCAATCTTTTATTAAAAAAAGGAAAGATCGGTAAAGTAGATTATGTTATTCATGGAATGCCAATGTTTAGGAAAATTAGAGCAATCAAATGGTTAAATCAATTTATCGATATCGTTTTACTGCATATTTGTTCAATGAAATGACTCAAACAAAAAAAAAAAGAAAACTCAAGAACCTTGTAATTTTTTATTGAAAGAAAATAGGTCGGCCAAGTAGATTGTATATATATGTATATGCAGTGATCGAAAAAAGACAAATATTTTCACAAATTAAATATTTTTATATATACATAATTCTCTATATAAAAGTTTGTTAATCCTTAATGTGAATATTTTAATAATTTAAATATATTTTTCTATCTGAAATTGAAGTAAATTACAAGCACATTGCAATGAATACTTCAACTTTGGACCTTAAGAAATATTTTTAACAGCTTTACAAAAAATGTAATCCATGTCAATACTTGTGTGTACGCACTGTATATGCGTACTTTAATAAAAAGAATAAAAAAGAAAAAATGTATTTTTGATGTGTAACAAAATGTACATTTATAACGTAAGTTCCATCTATATATCGAAAAATAAGTTGATAATTTAAAAAAAAAAAATGAGAATCATTATTAAAGGAATTTATAATAATACGTATTGAGGAAATTTGTTAATAATGTTACACAAGCACACCCTGTATATATATATATATAAGTTACTTACGCGTATATAACGGTAATCGAGAGCGACGTTGGGTCATATACCTTAGTTGCTTGGAAATCACGGAAAGTTGACCTTGAAACACTTTCCAACTTTGAAATATCATGTTCTCCTTTTTTTTCATTCCTTATTGAGGAATCCTTTATACAGTTTTATAATTAACCGCAAATTGGAAGTTGGAAATTTGATCTCTCTCTCTCTCTCTTTCAGATCATTGATTTACAGATTTGTAACAAAATACTTCAGTTTTATGCAGTTTTATCGTCAGTGATCCTGAGTCGCGTTTAGTATTTTATATGATTGAATACTTCATTGGAAAAATCAATTAATTATTGATAATAATCATAGCAATTGTTCAAAATATTTACGATAATGTAATACATTTATTCAATGTCATGAAAATGTGCAATTGATAAATGAATAATATATCTTATTTATTTATTTATTTATTTATTTATTACGTTTGTTAGCTTCTTTGAGTTATAGCATTGAATAATTGGCATACTTTTAAAATTAAATTTCATTTAATTTTTATTATTATTTAATTTGTTTGTTAGTTTATTCGTTTGATTTTATTTTAGGAAATGACATAGGTAGTGTTTTACGTAAAGCAAACAAAGAATGCTATTTTCTGATTTACTTAGAAAAATTCATTATTTATATTTGTCTGCACGTATGTGTGTTATGAGATTATAAAGATTTGCGATCATTGATAATAGACACAATAATAGATACGAAATAGAAAATGACAAATATCTTTTTGTATACTTGCTTACCTGATTTGTTTCGTAAAAGCATTGTGACAATCTGATAATAGATAGTGATACGTTCAGAATTGTCTCTTATCGTACGATAAGAAAATGATACAATACAAAAGTCAATGAATTTAGTTGTAATATCGTTGGATATATATTTTATTGAATTATATTCAATATTTAAAACGATTTTAATTAATTTATTGTATCATATTTCTTCCATTATTCAACAAGCACGAATATACGAATAATTTAAATGAATAATTTTAAGCCAAGTATTGAGAGGATGATGCATAAGTTAAAAAAGAAAAATTATAATAATAATAATAATAATAATAATAATAATAATAATAATAATAATTAATTTAGAGATTGTATTATTTTTTTTGTCTTTAACATGAATGCCGGATAAACAAAGATAAATGATAGTTCGTATCAACACGGTAGAAGGAAGTTCAACGATGCGCACTGTTAAACAAGCGATATGCTATAACGAATATGTCCTTCCTTTTGTAGTTGTCCTCATCGTGACAAAAATTTCAAATCTTTTTACTTACAATTAATAAGAGAAAATATGATAATCGACAAAACTTGATGATTACACGTTCAATGCATAAAATAATGATCTTTGATTATATTCTAAGAAGTTCAATTTCGATCGTTCATTATTTTACTAATCTAATCATTTGTTTCCTCTAATCACAGTCATTGTAATTGTTTCATTCGAAAAATTGTTATTTTTTGAGAAAAAAGTAGAAATTTTTAGTTAATTCGATGTAATTATTGTTTTATTGTTTCTTTATAAGTATAATAATTTGTTTGCATATAACTATAAAATAATAATTTTCAAAAATGTAGATATATTTATCTAACTTTTGAGGATTCTTGGAACAAGAAAATTTGTCATTTATAATAACACGTGTATCACGTATTGTACAATTGTTACGTATAATTAAGATTTTTACAAACGATATTGTATGTTGTCCTCGTTATTAAAATGACCACTCATCTCTTTGATATTACAAATCTCATTCTCGTGAAATATACATTTTGTTTTAAATTTATTTTTCAGTAGACACATTATAAATCATTGATAAACTACTTTACAAATTAATACATTAATGATAATTTAAATATAAATTATTAGAGATCATTAAATCATTAGAAAAACTTAGATATTTCAATGTTATAACGTTGATATACATAAGGTAACACCTTTTGTATAATCATGATAAACGTGTTACGATTTTATCAGTGATAATTGAAATGTTATGCTTATCGAATTTTATTGATTCTTTTACACATTTTACTAATTGTAAGTAAAAATAATCTTACGAATTTCCGTTTAGAAAAAAAGATTTCAAAAGATTTCAAACAAAATGATTTTGATACAAATATTTCGCATACGTAATACTTATGACTTTTCAAAATTTATTTCATACAGAAATATAAATCCCATTTACGTTTTTAATTGTAAGTCATATCAGATCATAAAGTCGCTTTAATTCATTCGACTTATTACATAAACTAAAAATTATGTTCGTCCGACGTATACTACTTAATTGGTCTTTTCTTTTTAATTTTAACGTTTACCAACGAAAGAAAAAAAAAACGTTTGAAAATATTTTGTCATTTTGTCTTAAATTATTTGTCTAATTCTGTTCAATTAAATTTGATTCGTAGCATTACGATTATTATAGGATTATTAAAATAATTTACGATTAGCACATTTACAAATAATTATTTATCAATCATTTTTCCATTTCCAAGAACTAAGAAACAACTAAATTTATTATTCAAAAAAAAAAAAAAAATAACAAAAAGAAAATATTCTTTTATATAACTTTGTATGTTTTAAAAATAACATGTAAACACTTTATAATATCTAATCATTTTAATAATCACCGACTCATTTCATTTTACTTACTTATATTCTTAAGTTGTATTTGATTAATCAAGAAAATCATTTAAACGTGCCAATTGTTAATTGTTTCAGATTTCAAGATACAGCTATCTATGGTTATGGAACAAGTATACCTCCTAATAATAATGAATCCGAAGATGAGATATCATCGAAGAAAGTGATATTTTGCGTTCATGGAAAATTATCTGGTTGTTGTACCGTTGTTAAAGGAATTGACGAAAATGCGTCTCCCGATTCTTCCAGTAAGATTTATTCATTTTATTTCAAATAATAAATAAGTAAATAAATAAATTGTTGGTTTACGGTCTCGAGAGACCAGACCTCGCAACCGGGTACGCTCAGTGTATAATTGCCTAAGTTACGTTTATTGATCGAAAGATCTTCAGGGTAGGGTGATCAGTCCTACGCCTATTTCAAATAATATGTTTCAAAAATAAAAACGTAATATAAACGTATGTAATAAAATGTTTGTTACGTTTCAAATGTTGACATTTATTGACACAATACAAATCAATGTATAAAAATGTCTATATATTAATTAGAGAAAAACAAATATATATATATTTGAAAAATGATTTTCAGTATTACCAGAAGATCATTGTCATCGAGAAAGAAATAAAGAAATCGACAAGAAAGCAAGGAAAAAACTTTTACTTGCGAGTGCTCTATGCGTGTTCTTCATGATAGCTGAAATAATTGGTAAATTATTATGCATATCATGCATATCTCTTTTCTTCTTCTTTTCGTACATCTATTAATAATGTTTGACATATAAATATTTCATTATAATAAGTATTTTGTAATTAAACAGGTGGTGTACTGTCTAACAGTTTGGCCATTGCTACAGACGCAGCACACTTGCTGACCGATTTCGCATCATTCATGATTTCTCTATTTTCAATTTGGGTCGCAGGAAGGCCTGCAACAAGAAAAATGCCATTCGGTTGGTATCGTGCGGAAGTAAGTATCAGGTATAGACGGTATAGACTTTTACTTTCTCTAAAGAACACTAGTTTTGTTTTTAATATTAAACGAATTATTATTCCATTCGACATTATTTTATTTTCTCTCTCTCTCTTTTTTCTTTTTCATTGTATTAAGTTCCATTTCTTAATTGAAATATGATTTTTGGCTTACACAGGTGATAGGTGCATTAACGTCGGTCCTCTTGATATGGGTCGTCACTGGGATTTTATTCTACCTCGCTATAGAAAGAATAATTAATAAGAATTTTGAATTAGACGTAACTGTGATGTTAATTACCTCTGCAGTTGGTGTTGCGGTAAATCTAGTGTTAGTGATATTACAAAAATAATTTTATTATTAATTAATATTTATAGTTTTATTTGAACGATATTATCTAAGAATAAGACATATTTTTCAAAGTATAATCATTTTTTTTTGTAATGAAATTGGTTGAACAATCTAAGAACTCTTACCACTTTAAATAGTTCAGTTGTTTGTAGTAGTATTATTTAATAAAATAGCATAGAGATGTTTGATATGTTAGTTATTAGGCCTAATATATTTAAGATTCGTGACTTTTAACCTTTGTTATAGAATGGGTCTAAGTTTGCATCAGCATGGTCATACTCATGGTGGACATAGTCATCATGATCACGATGATCATGATATGAAGAAGATATCAGATATAGAAAATATATCACACAAGGATGAACACAAAAATATAAACGTTCGTGCTGCGTTTATACACGTCGTAGGAGATTTTATTCAAAGTATAGGAGTTTTTATTGCAGCATTAGTTATTTATTTTAAAGTTAGTATTAAATTATATTTTATAATATTTATTTATTTTTTTTTATTATTACAATTGAAATATTAAGAATATATAATTTTGATTATTATATTTTTTATTCTTATGCTTGGTTTTTCTTTTTCTAGCCAACGTGGAACATAGTTGATCCTATCTGCACTTTTCTATTTTCGATATTAGTCATACTCACGACCGTGGCAATTATTAAAGATGTTATGAACGTGCTTATGGAAGGAATGCCTAAAGGATTTGATTATTCTCAAGTTGAGAATACCTTCATGCAAATCGAAGGTGTTGTGAAAGTACACAATTTGCGAATTTGGGCTCTTTCACTTGACAAAACCGCTTTGTCAGCGCATTTAGCTATAAGTAAGTTTACAAAGACGTTAATGTTATTACGAAAAGACAACGACGTTCGATTTTTGTCGTTTTGACAAAAAGTAATTAATCTACTTTAATATTAATGAATGATTTTATCGATCGCAATTTTATAACTGTTATTTATTTGTTTAATACTTTTAATTATTTGCAAAACAATTTATTTGAACTTTTTATTTTTTACAGAACCTGGTACAAGTCCGCAAAATATTTTACGTACAGCCACGAGAAACATACACGATACTTATAATTTCTTCGAGATGACGTTACAAATAGAAGAGTTCAACGAAAGAATGGAAAACTGTGAACAGTGCAAATCTTTAACGCAATGAATATCATCGTTTAAAATTTAATATCATGGGTTTTTTTTTCCACATTGTATGACGAGCTTCGACATCGATGAATATTTCTTCTTCTTCGTTTTTGTTTATTACATGAAAATATTAAAGTAAAAGATATATAATAATAATAATAATAATAATAATAATAATAATAATAATAATAATAATAATAATAATAATAATAATAATAATAATAATAAGATAAATTATAATAAATTATAGTTCAATAAGGGAACATTAATTGAGACGTATACATTTATTTTACTATGGGTTCTCAAAATTAATAATAATATTTCGATTTTATTAGATATATTCGTGTTTCCTATATTAAATATAATAATTGTAATTACAGTAATTATTATTATTATTATTATTATTATTATTATTATTATTATTATTATTATTATTTTATTATTATTATTATTTTATTATTATTTTTATTATTATTTATACGTCTTATAGAAGAAAAAAAATACAATGTTCAAGGAATTTCGATAGCAATAATTGAACTTAATTGTGTTAGTTCCTAAATAATATAATATATCAATGGTGCATAAATGATGGTGCTCTTAAATCTTGCAAATGGTGCATTAATACAAATAAAAGTAAATTTTTCAATCGACAATATTTTGAATTGATCTTATTAAGTTCAATAGAATATTGAGAATATTTTATTATTTGTATTAATTAATATTTCAAGTATCTAAGAAGATACAAAAGGAACTAGTTTGTTATAAAAATTACCAAGAAGGTAGAAACAAAAAGCTAATAAAATACTGTTAAAATACTGTTACAATATTTCATCGTTAAATTTATCATTGTAAAGATTTAGTATACTATAATTCTATAATATTATCGTATAAAAGTCATATTATATTATATTGTTACAACATAAGTTTTGTACAAAACCGGATATATAAATATATAAAATAATAATAATATATATATTAAATATATAATATATATAAAATATTATATTTTCGCAAATGTATTTTATACGATAAAGTTAATACCCTTACGATTATCTAATTTTTGATTATATTATATTACTACAACATTAAGACTGTACAAAATATTATCTGTAATGTATTGTGTTAATACACATATGCAAATTATATGATAAATTGAATGTGTGTGTGTGTGTGTGTGTGTGGTAAATAATTAGTTACCAAAACAATAGAACTTTATTTTATACATATACATAATGTAAATGAAAAATAAACGTCAAGGGACAGAAGATTAATGTCACTACTCTAAGATGGCCCTTACACACTTTATTAATGCTTCCGAAATCCATACATCTTGCATTATGAAATAATTCATGTATAAGATAATTGAAGAAAATAAATGTTTACATAGTAATTGTAACACGTGCGTTAGAGATTTTATTTGTAAATATATTAATTAATATATCTATCAATACATTCGCTATTTCTATATATACTATGAAAGGAATTTAAACTTAACCCTTGAATCAACATTTTGACGTTTTTTTCCAATTTTCATTAGAAATCCAGATATTCTGATAGTCCTTTTGAAATTGTCCACCCGTTATAAAAGTATTAAAATTGTTTTCTCAAGTCTCAAAAATTAGAGAAATGTAACAGGAGAACATGATGATACAGGAACTAGAAGAAGTGGCATGACAAATAGTACTTTCTGTCATCACTTGGAGCGCTTATTGGTCGGTAAAAAGTTTTGAGATCCGATGGTAACTTACCGACCGTGTCAGTGATATAATCTCTGGTACCATCTCATGTAGAGATTCTTATTATGAAGTATTACCGACGGATCTAACAGTATAATAAAAGTTTTAACTGAAATATTATAAGACAAATGGAAACTTAAATTACATATTTTACTTAGTAGATAACGAAATATATTAATTCTCCCCGTAATATTTAGTAATAAATGTTGTTACTACCAGAGTATGTAGCACCGACATGGTCCGTAAGTCCTTATGGTAACCTATTAATAGTCCTATTGGTTTTTACCGACTAATGAGCGCTCCAAGTGGTAACAGCATGTACTATTCATCGTGCCACTTCTTGTTGCTCCTGTATCATCATGTTCTCCTGTTACATTTCTCTAATTTTTGAGACTCGAGAAAACAATTATAATACTTTTATAACGGGTGAACAATTTCAAAATGACTATCAGAAAATCTGGATTTCTAAAGAAAATTGAAAAAAACATAAAAATGTTAATTTGAAGGTAATGTTTAAATTCCTTTTATAGTATATATAAAAATAGTGAATGTACTGATAAGTACTTAATTAATAAATTTCCAAACAATTAGATACTCTGTATAAATTCTATGAACTTATGTTATTCTTGAGAATTTATAAAGAGAGTCTGTCATTGTTAATGCAATTATAAATTTTTTTATTAGAATTTAAATAAATTATATATTTAATTTATATATGTTAGGTAGATTATATTAGACAAATAATTATTAAGAACATTGAATTTACATTAATTCAAAGAGTTAGAAAAATTGTTTATTGTTGTTGAAATGAAAATTATTTATATATATATATAAATTAAAAAATTTATTTAACACATATGTGTATCGTAAAGGTGTGTGCGTAAATCTAACTTGTTTCCACACCAATCCTTATATCGGAAATTCTATTTCAATGCTACCAACAGTGTAAAGAATTTTATTGAAGTAAGTTGTGGTATTGAACGATTAGTTTTGTGTTGTATTATGTTGGTTAATCAGTGAACATTATAAATTATAAATAATTTCTTAAGTGCAATTGTAAAATGACGTTAGTATATTTTATTATTTGTATTAATATTGTGTATTCGTAAATGTAATTTTTAACCTCGCTCTCTAGTTCGTTTTATAGGTTATGTGTCATGTGTTTTAGTTTGTGTATATATTTTATTTGATGCAATAATCGAGTGTACATATTGTTTATTTGTTAAAATTCTTTTCTTATTATCATTTTCTAAAATGATCATTGATGCAGAATTAAAATAATTATTTATGACAGGTTGTATACTACGTACTATGTCCTTTTAAATTTCTTAAATTAATGGACTATGTAGAAGAATTTTCTTCTTAAATTTGAATTAATTTTTCCATTGACTCTTTTTCAAAATGTGATTTTATTATACTAATTATTTTTAAAAATAATTTACAGAAGTACAAGGCTTTACTATACTGGTTTCAATGCAAGCCCATTATTTAGCAACGAAGATGACACCTCTATAATATTAGATCAATTAACAGAAGTTCCTTTTCTTGGTGCTACAAATATGGAGATTAGTTGGAATTATTTTCTCCTTTGGAAAAATTTCGAGTTGTATATTACTGGAAAAGTAGGTAACGATGATGAGAAGAAACCATTGGAGTTATTACAAATTCCTAAGTCTTCTGAAAGGTAACGATAATGATTCTGTAGAAGTAAACAGTGAATAATTATATAAGTTTAAGTAGTATTAACAAATTGATTCTTTTAGTTTAGATGTAAAATCGTTAGTGCTGGAAGGGAAAGCGTAATAATTTCAACAACGAACAATGAAATCTGGCAATATCGTATTTATGAAAAATCTTGGAAGAAAGTTTCTAATTGTATTAACACCAATGAAGAATCAGAAGACGAATATCCTATCAAAATATCACAAGAAGGATGTACGGTAATTCTTACGAATTTAGGTAAAATATATTAGTGACTGCCACGTTGGTCATGGTTTTTCCTATGATGTCATGGTAGTCATCTCTATTCAGTATACTATCAGTATCATCTATACAGTATATCTCTAATTAGAATATATTTTGAGATAAAAAGTACCTCATTGAACAATTTTTACTTAATCGAAATTAAAAGATTCATTTCTATAAAATCTTGAATAATAAAAATACTACCATGGTGTCCTGAGTAAACCACATTCATGTGAATTCGATGTGGCAGTCAAAGTGTTAATAGAGGTTTATGTTTATTTTCAGGGCGTATTTTTAATATTCCTATTTTGGTAGAAATGCCAAAAAGGGTTAAATTTATAGATTTCGCTTGTGGTTTTGATCACACAATATTGTTAGCGAAAAATGGCGATGTTTATTCAATGGGTATGGGAACGTATGTATTGAATTGATCAAATTTATTATTCTAATATAATATCAATCACAATTTGAAATGTTATAAATTACAATATATCATAGTCGTGGTCAATTAGGACATGGTGATTTGGAAGACTGCGATGAGCCGCAATTAATAGAAGCACTGGCTGGTCTTAACGTAGTGCAAATATCTGCTGCGGGTTGGCACAATGCTGTTATTACAGATCAAGTAACTAATCTAATTAATAATACATAAACGATTTATAAAAGAAATCGTCGTAAAATTTTTCTTTTTACAAATTAGGGTGATCTTTATACTTGGGGATGGAATGTTAACGGAGAATTAGGTATACCAAATGGAGACACCAAAGTCGTAGCAATTCCTACGGTAATAAATTTTCAAAATGATCAAGAGGAATACATAGATGTGAATGTAAAAAAAGTACAATGTGGAAATACATTTACCATATGTATGACTGGTTCGTACGATTTAATTACGTCAATTTAATATATCCTTAATATAACTTATTTATAATTGATTTATTCGTAATAGATGACAAGTCGTTCTGGGGTTGTGGTTCTAATAAATATGGACAATTGGGACAATCACGGGAAAAAATGATGAATTCTAGCATTTTCTTTTTATTAGACATTCCGTTGGATCGTAAAAATATCATAGACTTTAAATGCCAAGAATGGGGTACGATGATATCGACAGAACAGATTTCTTCTATAAGATAATATCTTTTTATAATGTTAAATTAAAATAAAAGGAAGATAATAAATTAATGTACTATATATAATTATTATTCTTTAAATTACTTATGCGCTATATTATATAAGTAAGAATAATATATAAAATTAGCCAACAATTTATATCGTCCCACGATGAAATTCAAAAACAGCAACAGCTTCGTTCGATTCTATTAATGGTAAAATAAAATTCCGGTTGTTCGAAATGAAATCTTCGTCTGGTAAAGAATTCGGTGGTTGTGGTGGATACTCTCTTTCTGATTCCTCCTTTAAACGTTGTAACTTTTTCGTACCTTTTAGACTTTTTTCTAAAAAATCATATTTCCTGGAACGTGTATTTTTTTTTCTTTTTTTTTTTTAATATAGAATATTATTTACAAAGATAAACGATGTACTTGATGTAACTTTTCTCATCTTTTTTCTATCCTGTTCTTCGATTATTTGTAAACTGTTTCGAAGTTGTATATAAAAATGTTCAATGTTTGAGTTTGCCAGTCGAACTGGACGAGGTTTTCGAAAACTAAAAGGTAAATTGTCAACCTGTATTTCAATCGGTTCCACAAATACCGCATAAATGAGAGCGTAACGTACTTCACCGGCGTACCTGTCAATAATGTTAATTAAAAAATATTTAAAGTTTCAAAGAGAGAGAGAGAGAGAAAAAGAAAAAAAAAGAAATATACTTCATATAAATTGCATAATTAAAATTTGAACTATATACTAACATGTCGTACGTGGATCGAATAATTACGTCTAAAAGTATTTTCATCGATTTTGTTTCTTCCTCATTTGAGTTTTTTTCTGTTAGAGTTTGCGTTTCCTAGAAAAAAAAAATGAGAAAAGAATTAAAAAAAGCAAAAAATATTGTACGATAAGATAATTAAATATAATTCGTCGTTTTTAAATAAAAGTCTGAAGATTTTTTTCTTACCGATTTCAAGTCCCTTAGCGAGGATGAATCGTGTTCTTGCGATAATCTTGTCTCTTCCTCTTTCATTTCCGATTTCATCTCTGCATCACCAAACCTAATTAAATTCCAATGAGGAATCTCTTCACCTTGAACGACTTTCTCAGCAGTCTCGGTGAATATTACTTCCATTTTATTGAAGAACTTTTCGCGCGAACATTTTGCATCTAAAAAATATAATCAAACTTTTTGAACACAGACACATACATCTATATATATATATATATATATATATATATATATATATATAGATATATATTCATAGTTGAATGAGTATAATAGATGATTTTTTAATTATTATTATTTATACTAAATTTACCTCGAATCAATTGCATTTCTCCTACTAACCAGCTGATAAAGATGCAACGTGAATAATCGTCAAAGGTGTCATTGTTTCGAATTATTTGTAGAGCTAAAATATCCAAAAACCAAAATGTCGCTAAATTTGTTTCATAATCTACGATACCAAGAAAATCTCCTAATATTCTAAAAATAAATCAAATTATTAAAATACTACACGTATTTACTTAATATTTATTTTAATATATATATATGTATATTTGCATAAAAAAATGAATTTGTAATCTTACTCGATCATACATTGAGGCTCGAAATTATCAATTTTTAATAATTTTCCAATAGTATCGTTGACAAAATTTGGTAATGTACTCATATATCTAACGGAAGAAGAGTTTGACGATCCAATGGACGAATCAGTTTCTTCATTTTGCATCGTTTTATCAATTAACGAACAAATCAAAGTTATATTCTCGATGGTTAGATGTAATAGAGAGAGAGAATAATAAAAAACAAAAGAATTAATATATTAAAAATAAAAAAAAAAATAAAAACGGATACAAAGAGTGAGCAAATAGGTATCGCACTGAAAAGAAACGTCTGACTTGTTTTTTTTTTTTTTATTCATTGATTTTATTCATTTTTTTTCCATATTTTGTTCAATATTTTCAGAAAATAACACTCCAAAGCGAAAAAACCGTATATTTTCACCAATCCCAATGTGTGTATAATATATATATATTATACTTCTCATATATAATATATATGTATATATATATATATATATATATATATATTTATATATATAATGTATACTTTTATACTTTATATATAATAATATTATGTAGAGTAGCGCACACTTTAGACTGTTATGTATCGATACCTTTTATAATTTTATCGATAAATTACAAATATTGAAAAACATGAAACAGACACAGCCGGGCCTTAAACACGCGGATTTCGGTATAATGAGAGATACCGGAAATATCGTGGAAAAGGGTTCCCCTTTTGCGATGGGCCTGATTCTTCCTTGATAAGATTAATGTTTTTTTCTTTTTATTTTCACCATAAGATTGTCGAATATTGCGAATAGAAAACAAATATATATTCGAATAGAATATTATTTTTATATAATATATATAAAAAATAAAATGAATTTGATTTTTTTTTTTTGAGAAGACGTTTTACAGTCAAATCTTCTCTCATAGGTGTTAAAAAAAAAAGAAAAAAAAAGAAAACAGAAAAATAATAAATTTAAAGTTAGAAGAATAAGAAGAAGAAGAAGAACCAGGCTGACTATAAGAGAGTCCAACCAATCGCATTGTCCCCATAGACTTAACTAACAACTATTGTATGATATAATCCGATAATCCGTGAGTCCTGGCACGACTGACTTTTTTTTTTTTATTTATTTATATATTTTCACACCGAAGTCAGAAAGGCAATACGCAGTTATGAACTTACCTAGTACATTTGTAATGTGTTATTCTGTGTACGCGTATGTTTTTTTTTGTATGTGTATGTATATGTGTGTGTATAGTTGGTTGGTTTTTTGGGTGTGTGACTTTTTAAACTATTTTTTTTTTCTTATCCACTTTTGTCATTCTTTATATCTTTCTCGTACCATCTTCGTCGTTCTCTCTCTCTCTCTTTCTCTCTCTCTCTTTCTCTGTCTCTCTCATTCTCTCCTTCTTTATTTCTTTCTTTCTTTCTTTCTTTCTTTCTTTCTATCTTTCTTATTCAATATGTCCTCGCAAATATATCTTTCGTATTTTTTTTTTCTTTTTGTAATTTTCTTTTTAAGCCGCTTCTCGACGTCCCCGTTTCTTTCGAGTTTACAAAAAAAAAAAAAAAA